GATCAAGCACCGAGACTCGGCGCTCCTTGCGCTTGTTGGCACCCTTCGGCGCTGCCATATGTGCAGGCGTATAACAGAGCAGATCATAAAATACCCCGTTAAAGAATCGTTGAATTATTTTGGAAGCTTTATATAGGACCTCAAAGAAAAGGCTTGTAACAGGGATACTGAAGCCGTATTCAGAGCAAGCGGCATTCACTGGAAGACACAGAACAGGCCAAACTCCGAGGTTGTGGCAGGCAGAATGGCGATTTGAATCCTCAGCAAACATCTCATTAGGCGAACAGAGGAATTTGAGGAGGCAGAAAGCTGAATGGAGATGGACTTATAAGTTGTGTATGTCCCCTTTAGTAGCATACCCTCAAATCTGGAAAAGAAGTTGAGGGTACGGCCCCCACTGATCGAAAGTGCACAACGAACTGGTAGTCAGCCCTGATGGGGGTGTACGAGCATAATGGCTCATAGGCACCTTGAAGACAAGCTACAGAACGGCTGAGTCGGCCGCGGATGGTACAAGGCTGGATGCAATGCAGACACATTCATCTACGGTGATTTGTGGCCAGGAGGTATGATATGGCCTTACAGTGGCCGTGTGCCTGGACTACATCGTTCTAAGTTTTTCGAAATATCTTATCTCAAAGTGGACCGATAAATGCACGTTTTCACTCTGTGTAGACGAGCGTTAGAACTTGTGACCATAAAACTTAGACCAAAAAAGAATGCATTCGGAGACATCCGACAATATTATGATTTTGTTTCACGCTTTAGACAGGAGGCGTTCAAGCAGTTTTTCCGCCATATGGACACCGACAACTCGGGCAGCCTGAGTATGACGGAAGTGCTTCAGGCAGTTGAAGCGTTCGGATTTTCAGCACCAAAGACGTATGCACGAACAATGTTTGATCAGGTGGACACCAACGGTGATGGGGAGATAGACATCAAGGAGTTTCTCGTCTTCGTCAATTCCATACGAGAAACGGAGTAGCCAGATGCCTGATCAAACTGCAAAACTGCCGAAAATATCGCAAAGTGCCGACAGTTAGACTTGAGCAATTAGTTTAACTTGTAACACTGTTATCAAAAGTGATGGTCATTATTTTTACCACCTGATTCAGAAACGGGGAAGAGAACACGTTCACATAAATTGCTGAAACGTTTCACATGAATTTAATGGACATAAAACCGACATGAAACTTGTTAAAAGGCAATAAAAATGAAGCGCGGGGATTGCTTTTCTCGTCACGATAGGCCAACCTGCATCCCAACGTAACCCTCAGTTACCTTACTTCTTCGTAGGAGGTTGGGACTGATGGGTATTTGGACAAAGTCGCCAACAGCTCGGTCCAGGCATGGTGGGAATTGCATCGAAAAGTCCCCCATCGCATTAGCAGTGTATAACACTCAGGCGGTTAGAGGTCAAAGATTCTGCGACACCCAAAACACTGGCATCCTCATGGAACACGCTTATGGCATGCTGGATGACAGTTATTAAGATGGTAAAAATGGAAGCTTCCAAGTGAGACTGACAGTACTACCTTGCGTTCTCGCCAGTGAGATTCTAGCAGAAAAAGGGGAAGTTTAGGAGGCGAGGAAACAACAGGAGTGGGACTTGAGCCAATGACCCGATTTCTTGATGAGCATCGAGCACCTTCAGGGTCGTCAGCGATCTAAAACAGTAACAGCGAGGAAAGCGAGTTTCCAGAAGAAAACAAAATAGAGTGAGCACTAGAAGGTTTTGCGCGCATATTCGGGCGGTTTGCAGTGGAATAGGCAAGCAATGACAAGGGGTTATTTTAGTCATTTTTACCTTTAAAGCCATAAATACTTGGCCCAGGTTTGATCAACAAGAATGCGCGAACCTGTGTCTTCACGTGACCGTAGTATAATGGAAATCGTAAAACTCCCTACGAACTTTAGCCTATTGTGGCCATCTGATTCTTGGCTATTACTAGGCTGGCTGAAGAGAAAATGAATCTCGTTGAAGAGTAACTTGCCAAACTGTTGCCGTGACCTCCATGATACGAGTGTTTGCTAGAATGGTCAAATAGCACACTCTAATGGACACACCAAACTCGGGGAAGTGGTTTGCTTGATCGTTTCTTGCTGAATACGAAGGATTGGGATGGAACATCCAAGTACTTAATAGGCTGCTCGTTGTTTTTTGTCAGGTAGCCACTCGAACCTAGCGGTCTGTCCGGAAGGGACTTTCGCAAGACCACCTCAGGGGGTAAAACATTTTACACATGCGCGAAAATACGAGAAGGTGACTGATTAATTCGATGAGCGGTGAGTGGACAAATTGAAGGGGTGCTGCACACTTGGCCGGTAGTTTGAATTTCATATGATCGGCTCACTTCCGATTTTATTTGAGTTATCTGCCCCAAACCCTTCCCATGGCGGCCATAAACGTCTTAACAAGTGTTGGAAATAGGCCTTTGGGTCAGGGAGTTGGGCGCTGGTCGCAGCCAAGTTGATCTGGCCCATGTTTTTCCAAGGAATTTAACAATTTTGAGCTCCTTCGTCTAACAATAATCATTTCTTGAGAGCAAGAGGCAGCGTGAGTAAGGAAAACCGGCACACGAGAGCCATGCCGCGCTGATGATTTGCGTGTGGCCTTGCTTAGAGTGAAGCATTTTAGCGCTGCGTCGACCTCACTTCGTTCTCCCCGCACCCGCCGAAAATTCGATGGCAAGGCAGGATCAAGATAACATCCTCTCTCCTGTGTGCTAGTAGTCAGCCAGAGCGGAGGTGCCTGAGAATAAAATGGACACGGTGCTTGACATGACGCAAAGTTGCGTCAAGACGTGCCACGCACGCATTTAAGTCTTACAGACGTAAGAGTTGCTACGAATGCAATATACGGTGACCAATTCTGTTCAACTCTTGTTCAAAAGGAGCACTCGGTTGTCCCATCGACTGGTAGCCTTCCATGCCACGATTTTTAGCGTGTCACATTTAACATAACGAGAGATGCGTTGAAATGACATGAGCATGTATGTCTCGGTGTTGATGTCACCCACGCCTCTCGCGAGCACCAGTGGGCTCTTTGAGCATAGAGGTCACTGTTGGTGAGGTTGGATTCAGCAGCTGGTATATATATATATGAGAAGATAAGGCGATCACAGGAACCATGGATTTATTTGCCTGACGTTTTGAAAGCAAACAAGCTTCCATCATCGGAGGTGGGTTGCGTACTTGCTTGCTTTCGACACGTCAGGCAAATAAATCCATGGTTCCAGTGATCGCCTTATCTTCTCAGTTATATCCGGGAACGCGCATCTTCGCTTCAATCAGCAATATATATATATATATATATGAGAAGAAAAGGCGATCTCGGGAACCATAATTTTACTGTCCTGACGTTTCAAAAGCAAACAAGCTTCCATCTTCGGAGGTGAGTGTGGTATCGCGTCTCATAATATTTATAGGTGGGTGACAGTCATGTCAAGACGGGCCTCCTTACATATTAAGTTGGGGGCGGCAGGTAGGAAGGGGCGGGGAGGGAGGCCCAGAGCGTCTTTTGGCCGGATGAGGGGATGATGGATCAGCTGTAGTGGTCACCAGCCGCATGCACACATGGACTGTGGCGGGGGAGGGGAGGGAGGGTGACGGAATGTACTCAATCTACATCGGGGGCCGGCTTTGAGACGTTGGTGGCCGTCGTTCGTACCTTCATTGACCGTAGCTGTCGTCCAAGCCTGATAATCTTGTTTACGCCGCAACGACTGTCCGTTTTCTCGTCCGCCGGACTAGTAGATGGACCGGCTGTGGTGAGGACTGCGCCTTCGTCGGAACCAGGTTGAGGGGTGGCTGTGTGTGTATCCGCTCATGTCTGGATTCATGTTTAGCCTGGGTGCACGTCTTCCCATTTGTTTACTGAGCTGCACCCGAAGGGCTTAGTAGGCAGCGGGAAGAGCCACACAATGGTTGATGGAGGTTGTTCCCGTGTGTCAAGCCTTTATTGTTTTCCTGGCAATGCGGACGTTTCCCCCGCCCAGAATTTCGGCATGCTGAAAGGCGAACGTGTGTCCGGAATCGGCGCAGTGTTCGGCCACCAGAGACAAAGGGTCCATTCGCCTTACTGCCCTCATGTGTTCGAAGAAAGGGTATTATTCAGGTTAATAAAATTTATGATGATGAGTTGTCAAAAGACAAGACAATGGTCATTCTTGTTTCAGAAACGCTGCCTCAAGACATGTAGGCACCATACAGGTTAAATATTTTAATAACTTGGGATGGGCTTTCTACTATCAGGTTGCAGAAAGCCCTCACCCCGTTCTGTCTTGGGGTTCAACCTAAAGCTTTCTCTGACAGTCATACAGTGCCTACTAATATATGCCAACGTAAAGCTACCGAAGACAACAACGAAGTCTGTGATGGCCATTTCTGGCTTAGTAACCATTGTCAACCAGTCACACCCAAGCCCAGGTTAGAATAGCCTTGAGATTCGAGCCTGTATCCAGTGGTCACTGAGGGTTAAGTCTGACGCTTTAGCATTGAGCTATGGACCCGTTGCCCTGTCTGTTGTGATCGGGAGTGCTAGTTATGGTGAAAGAGATTCCAACGCAGCGCATATAGCCTTGGTCCCACCTCCTAACAGGTATGTAGTCCAGTAGTTGCCAGTGGCACGTATAAGGATGCATCCATGCTGTCCTTCCCCGGTGGTTAGAACAGAAGACGGTGTTGGTATGGAGGAAATTGGGCTACGGGAATGCTTACAACCGAACGATATAAGTGACTTTGCAGAATGTGACCTTTATGCGATCGAGAATTCCCTTCCAGGTTGCGTGATCTGCTCCTAAATTCCGGTAGGAATGGCTTACTGCAACAGTGTGTTTTAAAGAAACAAAGGTGCGATCACTGAGACGGTAAATTTACTGGCCTGAACTTCCGAAATCGTGCAGGAGTTCACCATCAGAGACTGTGTGAACATTTACACAGTCGTACCGTGGGGGTGGGGGGGGGAGGATTACGTCAATGGCTCTGTCTGGTTCGCGCCGCCTGGTCCACGGCGTGATGACGATGTTTGCCCCTGGCGGAGATGTGAGCCGCCCCACCTGTCTGCGTGGGCGTAGCACATGTGTGAGTGGCACCTGCTGGACTATGTCCTCGTCCGGAGGCGAGACCAGCGGGAAGTGCTGATGATAAAGACGATCCCGGGTGCTGACGGGTGGAGCGACCATCCCCTCGTCATCTCGGAGTTGCGGATTCGCCTACAGCCTCGCAGGAGACCAGAAGGGAAGCCACCCAGAGGTGAGCTGAATATTTCTTTGTTGTCTTTGCCTGCTCAGCTCCATTTAAGCAACGAGCTAGCTCAACGGTTAGACAACCTTCCAGTAGCTGCTGCTGCCGCCGCCGCTGACGAGAACGCCTCCGTGAAGAACTGATGGCGTCAACTGAGGGACGAATTCCAGTCGACGGCCCTAAACGTTCTCGGTCGCGCACGCCGCCAACACCAGAACTGGTTCGATGACATCGACGCCGCCATCGGCAAACTGCTCGCCGAGGACAACAGCCTGCACAAAGCCTGCGTCAACCACCCCGCCGACGGCAACAAAAAGGCCTTCTACCGTAATCGCCGCCTTGCGCAGCAGCGGCTGCGCGAGATGCAAGACGCTTGGACGGTTCGCAAGGCAGAGGAAATCCAAGGGTACGCGGGTCACAACGAATGGAAGAACTTCTTCTTAGCGATCAAAGTCGTCCACAGTCTGCAGGCAAAGGCACTGCAACTCTTCCCAGGGCCGACGGCAGTACCATCCTCAATGAGAATACACAAATTCTACAGCGATGGGCAGAGGACTTCAGAGGCATCCTCAACCGCTCCTCCACTATCTCCGACGCCGCCATCGCCCGTCTGTCGTAAGTGGAGACCAACGTCGACCTCGACCTCTCGCCCTCTCTCCACGAAACCATCGGGACCATGCAGCAGTTCTCCAGCGGCAAAGCACTCGGATCAGACGCGATCGCTGCTGAGATCTACGGGCACGGTGGTCCCCAACTGATGGATCATCTGACGGCACTTATTCAGGAGATGTGGCGTCAAGGAGAAGTCCCTTAGGATTTCAAAGACGCCACAGTCGTGCGTCTGTACATGCGGAAGGGAGACCGCCAAATCTGCGACAACTAACGAGGCATCTCTCTGCTCGCATCCTTTTCAACCGTCTGAACAACCACTTAGAACAAGGTCTTCTATCGGAAATTCAATGCGACTTCCACCGTCATCGTGGGACCACTGACATGATCTTTTCCGCCCGCCAGCTTCAGGAGAAGTGTCAAGAGATGCAGACCCACCTGTACTCTACTTTCCTGGATCTGACGAAAACCTACGACACGACGAATCGCGAAGGCCTTTGGAAAATCATGCAGATATTCGGCTGTCCCAAACGATTCACTCAGATGGTACGACAGCTCCACGATGGCATGATGGCACGCGTCACGGACAACGGAGCTGTCTCAGAAGCATTCGCAGTGACCAACGGATTGAAGCAAGGCCGCGTTCTAGAGCCCACCCTCTTCAGTTTCATGTTCACTGTCATGCTGATGGACGCCTACCGTGACGAACGTCCCCGGATCCGTATGGTTTACAGGACGGACGGCCACCTCCTCAACCACAGGCGCATGCACTTCCAGTCGCGTGTATCCACAACCACCGTCCACGGACTTCTCTTCGTCGGCGACTGCGCCCTCAGCACCACCTCGGAAGGGGACATGCAAAGGAGCATGGATCTCTCCTCCTTCGACTGCGAGAACTTCGATCTGATCATTATCACGCAGAAGACGCTGGTCATGCACCAACCGCCACCCAACACAGCCCACAGTGCGCCGCAATTCACCGTGAACGGAACCCAACTGCAAGTGGTGGAAAACTTAACGTATCTGGGCAGTACCCTCTCCCGCAGCACAAAAATCGACGACGGAGTGGCCCGCCGGCTTCCCAAGGCCAGTCAAGCATTCAGTCGTCTTCAAGACACAGTTTGGAATCGTCACGGTCTTCAACTACGCGCGAAACTGAAGATGTATAAGGCCGTAATCCTCCCGACGTTGCTGTATGGAGCAGAGACTGGACGCTGCACATAAAGCAGACATGCCGACTCAACCACTTCCACCTCGGTTGTCTTTGCCGAATACTGAAGTTGAGGTGACAGGACCGAATTGCCAACACTGACGTACTGGAGCCGATGGGAATCCTCTGCATCCACGCCATGCTGAGACAACCGCAACTGCCTTGGTGCGGTCATCTCATGCGGATGGACAAAGAGAGACTACCTAAATGTCTCTTTTATGGAGATGGCGCCACGGGGCCCCGCCGCCAAGGAGGCCAATTCCGTCAATACAGGGAAATTCTGAAGACCGCCCTAAAGCGTCTGCAGATTAACCCGGTCAACTGGGAAGACCTCGCTCAGGACCGACCGACCTGTAGGGGGAAAGTGAAGACAGGTGGAGCGATCTACGAGGCAAACCGCATGGCCACCACGAAAGCCAAACGGGAAGCTCGAAAACCTAAGCTGTGCCCACCTCGCAACGCCAACGAAGAACCGCCCCCAACGTGTCCACGGTGTCAGCGGACATATTCGGTACGCAAATTA